TGCCAACATGCAGAGGCACAGCAAGATTTCCTTTCTGTTTTCAGAGGATTAGAGGATCTAAAGGTCCAGGTTATTTCATTTGTATTAAAAAAAAAAAAAAAAAAAGTCCAATTTTGTGAGGTATATGCAAAACAAGAAAATAAAAGTACCAGGTCTGAAAAAGGTAATTTTTCATAGCTGCCTTTTTTCAATTATACAGCAGCTGAGGCCTCTGTGTAGGCAAAATTTTCCTTTAAGAGTCTGAATGCTAATATGTTTCAACACAAAAGAACCCTCATCGCTGTGCTTGTTAAACTTCAGTCTTGACTACTCCAGTGTAATGAATTTATTAAGCCATGACAGAATTAATTGCATTAAAAGCACAGGCTCCATGCTGTCTGACTATATAATAATTGCCATTTCATTTTGCTAGGTTAGGCTCTTCATGGACTTTTTCTTGCTAAATTTTTACCTTCTAATATAGCCTACAAAAAATATATACTTTCTTTTTTTGGTGGAACACATCAGGTATTTATCAGCATGGAAAATTAATTATCCTTTAAACAGTGACTGCCAATAATTTAAGTGCTGAAGTCCTTTAAATACTGACTCTATGCTGTCTATGCTGGGGTTTCACATGCCTCCCTTGGCCCTGCTGCTTTGAAAGGTTGGATTGCAGCCAGTGGAGATGCTTCTCCTTTCCAGTGCTTGGGCACGTGCCCCAGTCAGGATCTCTGTCCACAGTGGGGCAGGATCCAGTCAGCAACCCTCCCATCTTCACAAAGCAAAGGATGAAAACTCAGCCACTGGGCTTGGGTGAGGACTTTGGTATGATGAAGTGCCATAGCATTAGCTGAGGGATGCTCTAAAGGGTACTGACCTCAAGAGTTACCCCAAGGTGGGGAATCTACATCTAGAACTTCAGCCTGCAACTTCTTCCTCATCCTAGGGCTGTCTGAGCTCCATCAGTGCCTCATGTTTTAACTTCTGAGTTTCTGCAGCATCCATAAGGAAGCAGGCCCAGGAGGCATTCAGGTGTTGACAGAGTCAAGCACACAGATGTGTAACTTGTACCTTAGCCCAGCCAAGGTCTGTGAGCTCCTTGACTCCTGGATCCCATGAGAGTGCTCCAAGAACCCTCAGTACTCACTGTCCAAATGCAAGCACAGTTACACTCCTTCCGTGATGAGCTGGCAGTGCTCAACTCGAGACCAGCGTGGATGGAAACACTTGCAGAAGCACTTTGAGACCCAGGCTCTGTGCTACAGGGACTTAAATCCACACTTCAGCTCCCCAGGAGAGTGCTCTGAGCACCAATGAATGGGACACAAAATGAATGCTGGTGGGTAAGGATCAGGACCAAGGCATGCTCCACCCCTTGGGAGAAACTGGTAAGGTACTGGGAGAAGGGAATTGTGACCAAAAAGTGGTGAAGTCTCACTATCCCCTTGCCCGCTACGTGTCCCCTCTTTCCCTGTGTGGGGACCAAACCAGAGCCAGGACAGTCTCTTTTGCTGACTGGGAACTATTTTCATTTCCAAATACACTCCGGGAGATAAAATGGAGCATTACAATATTAGTGCAGACAGGATTGCTTTAAATAGTTGCTTGGCTTATGACAAGACTATGAGGAAGAAGGGAGTTGCAGGTAACACCTGCTAACACAACAACAGGCCCTGCTGATACCTTAAAAGCACACGTTTCCTCAGGGCTATGACCAACAACCTTTTATGAGTGTCATTCATGCTGTTGTGACATCAGAGCTACATCTAAAGAGCAAACAAAGCAATGCCAGGACGTTTTCTGTTCCTTCAGGCAGCTAGCATGGTCTCGTTGCATCCAGACCATTGAACCCCAAATGGCCTCCAAAATGTACAGGTAGTCCTGGGCTTGTGCTGAGCCTGAAGTGTTGGGATCTGTTTGAAAATTACAAGTTAACCTCAGATAAACCTGATCCAGGGCTTTCAATCAATTTCAGAGTACAGCTGGTGCAGTTGCAGTGCCCAGGCTGAAGGCCTGATATTGCAGTTTACTGGCAGGGATTACAGTACACCTTCCCCACATCTTCCCCACACCTCAGGGATTGAGTTTGGGATCCTATCCAAACTTGTTCTCACCACCCCTTCAAGAGGAGAGGCCATAGCATGGCCCAGACCCTGCCCGCATCCCTTTGTGGACAACAGAGACATCTTGGCCTGTGGCTCTGGTACTCGATGGCCAAACTGTGTCTAACTGAGGACATTGCTGAGGTAGCACAGGTGGTGGGTCACTAACACCCAGCTCCTTGTAGCCTGGCCTGGGCTGAAGCCCACCCTAGATGTCCAGGATGCTTCTTGTCCAGAACAAACCTGGCTGTGAAACTGCAGTGTACTGTGTAGACATGACCCTCAACACCCTTCTGCTGCTAGAAAAGCCAAAAGAGGTCCTTGGTATAACCGAATCACGGCTTATGTTGTAGGTTTTATTTTTCACAGCAAACTCATCCTGGCAGCAGCCCCTGCCAGAGAATTGCAGTATTTTATAGTGCAATAATCTGCTCTTTTCTTTGCATATGTCTGTCCTTCTGTCAGGTAAGGTGTGCAGGTAAGCACACCTTTAAAAGCATTGTGCATTTCTTGGCAGAAACTGCCTCCAAACAAGCAATGTTTTCTCAGTGACTCAGGAAAGAAGGCCACTCATTTTAGGTCTCTAAAAATAATCTTGACCGCTCCGTGCCTCTGCTCACCAACAGCTCCAACTCTTGCAGCGGACGTGTTTGCAGGGTGTGGTACGACGTGCCTCTCCTCCAGCACCTGGAGTGCGCCGGGTAAAGTCCCAGAGCGCTGGCTGGCTTCCATTTCCCACTCCAAGTGAGGCCCTGGTCATGACATTTGTCTTTGCTGCCACTTCACTGCACTTTCCTTCATGATTCAGCCCTGGCCTACAAAATCAGCCTTGTGCAGGAGTGGTCGAAAGTGTACTAATTAAAAGGGGAGGATGGTTTGTTGTAAATGGAGAGGTAAAGCAAAGGGTTGCCTTAGCTACAGCAGCGACACAGTGTCAAAGAGCACTGGAACAAATGATCTTCTGATCTTTGCCTTACTTTGGGTTGGTTTGTTTCTCTCCTTGAGTTGCTTCATTATATATTGCTTAGCAACTTTTGGAGTCTTATGCTCGGACATTGCACAACTACACATATGTTGGCATGTGATTGTTATCTAAGTGCTGAAAGCCTTTATTCAAGCAAAGATATTTCTGGGGAGTAGGAAGAACATCACACAAGGAGCTCACACAACAGTGACCATGTGTTCCTCAGGCATCACAGTCTGGTCTGTGTTGTTTCTGAGAGAGAAATGAACATTTCTTATTCTTTGGCTGTATGTCCTTTTTTGCTGAGAGCCCTGGAATAACATCCCTTTTGTAGTCTATCGCATGTAGTTTGGTCTCTGGGGAAACATGGGATTTCTGGCCTTTGGTTGTTTATTATTATCCAAAATTCACATTGAAAAATGAAAATACTGCAATTTAGTGTCCAAGAAAATATCTGAAAGCATTGCTACAATAATGGAACATTTCATTTAGCATTGGATTGATCTCACTTGGCATTAAATACTTACAGTGGAGATATCAACATCTGAGCCAATTCCCCTGCTCTCCTATCATAGAATCATAGAATCGTTAAGGTTGGAAAAGACCTGGAAGATCATCTGACCCAACCATCCAATGTTGTCATAAAATGTAGAGAGAGAAATAGGTGTTTTTGTGTTACAGTTCATCAGATTTATTTCAGACACCTATTTTTGGACAGCCTATTTCTCCTCCACTGACTGTAAGAGGAGTCCAGACAGCTGGGACTACGTTCAGCATCATACTCACAGTAGTCTAGCAACCTTGTGGATTCACTGGTATATCCCTGCTAGCTTCTACCTGCTACTCCAGAAAAATCTTTGTGTCAGTTCTGTGCTCGTATCTCAGACTGGCCAGAACTCCTTAGATAGCACCAGGCAGCTATTAATATGTAAATGAATCCCTGGTTTGATCTGAGTTTGCTCAGAATAGGCACTGGCCATCTGATCTCCCTTTGTGCTTGACCACAACATTCAGACATTCCCAACACTCAAATGTTTGTTGCAGTGGTGTCATGAGTGTCACCTCCAAATAATGATCTGCTTTGAGTCAGGCTCAACATTAAACTTCATTTTCCCTGGCTGTCATGGTCTTGGCTGGGATAGTGTTATCTTTCTTCACAGAGGCTCATATGATCTTGGCTGGGATAGAGCTATCTTTCTTCACAGGGGCTCATATGATGCTGTGTTCTGGATTTTGGATGAAAATAGTGGTGGTATCACACTTTTTTAGTTGTGGTAGAGCAGTGCTCACAGAACCAAGGACTTTTTCTGCTTCTTGTGCTTCCCTGCCAGCAGGGAGGCTGGGGGTGCACCAAGATCTGGGACGGGACACAGCTGGCTCAGGCCGGCCAAAGGGATATCCCATATGATGCCGTGCTCAGCAATAAAACTGGGGTAAAGGAGTCTTCTCAAGAAACTGTTACGCATGATGAGCCCTGCTTTACTGGAAGTGGCTGAACACCTGCCTGCTGATGGGAAGCAGTGAGCTAATTCCTTGGCTTGCTTTGCTTGTGTGTGAGTCTTTTGCCTTCCCTAGTAAACTGTCCTTGTCTCGACCCTTGAGTTCTCGCACGTTTACCTTCCTGATTCTCTTCCCCAGCCCATCCAGGGAGAGTGTGTGAGCATCTCGCTCTCAGTTACCTTCTGGGGTTAAACCACAAGAGTGGTACACTGCTTTATGGGAGTAATAGCTCATGAGACTGCACTCTGAATTTCTTGCCGTGTCCTTCTCCATTATGTTTAAAAAGCTCTTTAACATTTTAACCTTTTTATTGACCACAACTGAGTTGACACTCAATCGTCGTTTCCAATATAAATCAGACTGATCACTTTAGCTCTCTAACCATATTTTTCCAGGTCTCCAATGACTTTACTTGCTTTTTTTTCTGAATATTGGCTCCAGTCTGCCAACTCTCAAGAAATGCACATGCTAAGATGAAGGTTTTCTTCTATTAGATATCTCAAAGGCAAATATCTGACTGTATCGTTCAAGGCAGCTTTCAGTTGGTAGAGAGAAAAAAGCCTCTCCAGAGAGCAATGCATCTGGCTTGGACCTTTATTTCTGCATTAAATGAACTCCCTTCTGGAGAAGGCTGTGTCAGCAGTGAGGGCACCTGGGCACACAGGGAGGCAACCACAAGAAATACAGCAGCAGAGGGGCAGTGAGCTCTGGCAGAAGGGGGTCTCTGGGTGCAGATCCCTCCATCAGTCATCCTCCAGCAGGGAAATAATGTGAAACCCCAACAGAGGCTGCAGCCTAAATTCCTTGTGTGGTCAGGGTAAATGTGGTCAGGAAAACTGAGATAGTTTCCTCCGTGATGTGAGTTGATGTCTCTCAAATGCAGCTCACCAGGACAGTAAATCTGGATCTGGGGAGTGCTCGTACTGGACCCAAAATATGCAAAGTGCCAACAAGGTCCAAACGCATTCTGCCAGCTTTCCCTTCTGAAGCTTGTTGATATTTAATGACAGCGCCCATCTGAAGCTGCATTGCACATTCCTGTTAACCTGGTCTTGTTCTCACAGATGCACCAGAGCCAACCGTTTATGTTGTTTTTGCCCTTGGAAATGAATGGAAACCATGCCACCATGGATAGCACATGTAAAATGTAGTAATCACTGATCCCAGGAAGCAGTTAGATAGGTTCATCTCTCTTCCTCTCCACAGTTCTTTGTTCAACGTGATCCTTATGAGTAGGGAGAGTGGTGCTGGCTCTTGGGGTACTAGAACATCCTACTGTTACCATCTGTGTGAGGTGTCTGCACACCATGAAGGCATGGTGTACACAGCACTAGCACTTTGGGGGCTGAAAGTAATAGTGCGACTGATGCTGGTGGTGCAACAGGATGATAACTCTGCTTTATGCCTGATTTAGTTATAATTTCTGTTTGCTATCACAGAGGAAAATACCAATTACCCCCTGTAGGGAGGGCAGATTAGCTGATGCTGTGTCACTCTACCACTGGTAGCAGGATAACACAGGCTCAGTTCCCAGAGGTCTCCAGACAGCTGTCAGAGAATGAATTTCTGTTGCTGCTAACCCGCACCAACCCCAAAGTGGTGACCTGGAGGCAAAAAGACTGAGTCGTGTTACAAATCCCTTCAGCTTTCAGATGTGCCTTTATTTGTTCTCTAACACCAAAAGGTTTAGTTAATAGGGATTATCATTTTTCATGGCATCTCTCATTTGTGCAAAAATTGGTCTGGAGACCAATTTCCAAGAATTCCTTCTCTTTAGGAATTTTTCCCATGACATGTTTTAGCACTCTCCTTACCAGTATTTTCAATTCTGGTTTAAAGCTTCAGGAATAAAATTTAACCATTCATTACAAAAGTAATTTTCCTTAATTGAAAACTGATATTTTTATGTGGAAAACAAAGCAGATAGAAAAAAATGGTAATACATCTTCAAAGAGCTAGACTTCAAAGCTAAAAAGAAACAGTTGTAATGTCACGTCAGGGTTTCTAGATTCCCCAGATTCTCATATCCCATTTTTGTTACCCTTTATGTTATACCCATTCTTTGTTTCTGAGTTTTATCTTCATTTCTGTCCATCCACAGTTTCGGGGTCAGATTTACATCTGATTTAATCTATTGTATGGAAAAGTCTCACTGAAACTGCTGAGATTATGACAAAAAATGTGCAGCATCAGATGCTTCATCTGCATGAAGCTATTTGATGTGTTACTGTGGTGGCAGGCAGACTCTGGTCACTGTCATGCTGTTTTTGCACCAGTAAAACTGTGATCAGAATCTGCTTGTGATAGGTTTAGGATTTGAGGTACTGGCTTACAGTAATAGCTCTTGGTGGCACTTATGAGTTGCAAGTAAAAGAGAGGGCCACTAAGAGATGGAAAATCAGAATTTTTGCCTCAGAATAAACAAGAAGTTTACAAGTAAGCAGATTTTACTTTACAGAAATAGAATGTAATATGGTGTGTTTCCACTGGGCAAATAGAGAAGAAAAAAATAAAATAAAATAAAATAAAAAAAGATTTTTTTCCATTATATTGACAGCTAACCAGCTTTATGAAAGTATGCTGATGCTTTGGTGGGAGCAGCTGGCAAATAGCTCTGATATGTATGGGAAGAGCCATGTGTCAGCATCAAAGGAGTAGCAAAAGTTCACTTTGGGTTTAGCAAAGGCAATGCTTGATCTTGCAATCCTATCCCCAGTGATTTTAATAATCGCCAAATAACAAGTGAAAAGCTTAATCCTTCCATCAGCGCAAATCCACTAGAGGGAAACCAATTTAGGGAAATCTCTGAAGAGGCAAACGAGCTAGCCTTTTCCTGCATGGCCTGTGAAAAGAGCTGGAGACACTGCCAAAAAAAATACCATTGTGCTTCAGGAAGGCTAAGAAGAAAGGTCAGAGCCAAATGTCAATCAGCAACCACAGTCCCTGCAGGAGAAGACCCCACAGCACCCAAGCAGTGACTGTTTGTCGTCAGAAGAGGACCTGAGCACCTCCAAGGCACTCAGTAGTATTCATTGCTCTTAACTTGGCATGTCTACAATATAAATGTCTATTGCTGTTCCCACCACCCTGCCTTCCTTCTGTGGCTTGTCTGTCTGCAGTGACAGACTGGTCCAGCTGCCAGAGCAGTCCCCAGCATTATTTCTGCCAGGGGCTTCCAATTCCTCTCCCAGAGACCTGATGGGCTCAGCCGGGGTGGCAGCAGTCAGCCTGGGGCATCCTCACTGCTCCTGAGGGCAAGAACATTTCCTGCCATTCCTTGCCCTTCATCTTCAGTGACAGATAGCAGTCCCTGGCACTTTAGTTTTCAACTGCAGACACAGCCTGGACACCTACCTTAGTGCTAGTCACTCAGCTTCCCTTTTTAGCCAATGGAGGTAAACAGGCACTTTCAGGGTGCAGTCAGAGCCATTATAGACTTTAGGATGAGGAAAAATGAATCCTAAGGTGCCTGTATTTCTCTCTTGACTATAAAAACAGTCTAGACACTTAGCTCATAGGCAGAAATTTACAGTGTGAACATCTGGAGTTGGTCAGACAAATCCCACCTCTCCTGTCAAACGTTTACAAATTTCTTCCGTAAAGACACCATTAGTGAGGACAGCATCTGCAGCACACTTGCAGACAAAGAGATTTCCCTTTATTTGTTTACCAAATGTCTTGAGTAGAAATTTACCTCTCTAATCCAGTGGGAAAAAAAAAAGGGGGGTGGGGGTGTTATGAAAGTGCTTAGTTAAATACACTGCTTAATTTAGAGAACATGCAAAATTTAGTCAGATAAATGGAAATGGGTTTTGAGGTTAACATAATCTGCTGTGGAAAATGGTTGCAAGCGTTGCTCCCTAAGAAACAGACCAATTTCTCAAAACCTGCATTGGTAGGATAGTCTCTGCCCAACAGCCTAAGTGACCTGATACGTCTTTTCCGTCAGACATGAAATTGGACTAAATAAAAACTGTCTGATCCAATGTAAAAAAGTTAACTTATCGAAATGATGTCAGCATGACTGAGGCAGCACACAGAATTTATACCAAATCAGCATTTTGCAAGTCTGGCTGCAGTGTTTCTGGTAAGGCATGTACTTGCTGCTGTTTTGTGTTCTCTGGACTGCTTCCACTGAAATGCTCAGTGATTAAAAGAGGGGAAAATTAGACCAGCAAAACATGTGAAAATCCCATCTGTAATCCCATGTACAGTGCAAGGAAGGATCAAATGTACAAAATAACAGGAATTTTAGCATCAAACACAAACGTAAAACTTGAGTGTTGTTGATATCTGGGTTTAAATAGGTATAGTTAATGCTGCCCTACATTTGTTCATCCTTGTTCTTTTATTCACAGCACTTTGAGCATACCTGTGGCTAAAATCTTCCTTGCATGCTGAGTACGGGCATGACTCACAAATGATAGTGTTTTGTAACTTGAAGCTTCTTCCCCCTGATGAATAATTTGCAGTAGAATTTCTTTTATGAGGAGAGAGTAAAATATTTATGCAGCTCATGAACCGCTGCGGGAATGGACTTAATTGCCTTGACCGCGGTCTGCCTTTGCGAGTGGTGGAGCTGGGGATGGGAGGCTCCCCTCGCTTCCACCAGCTAGGGGAGGGGATGGTGGCACTCACCACGGGCCACCTTCTCTTCTGACACAACCTGGTGCTAGCTGGTCATTGCGGTAGGGCCTATCCACACCTGCTCTGGGCACTTATTCCCACATAACACAACTGTTTGGAGACAGCCCGTGGCTCTCAGGGCTGCGAGGTCGGAGCATCGTTTATTTTCCTAAGTGTAAGGAATTAATGACCTCATCGAGGTCCCCGTTAGATGGTGTTTGGTTCCTCACTGGCACAAGCAGTCACCATGAGTCTTGTTTTCTTTCCAAACGCAGGAAATCTCCCACCTCGGGGTTTGCTCAGCAGGATGGATGATTCACCCCCAGCTCCACCATCCCTTCCTCCAGCTCCAGCTGGGGGCTCTAAATAGAAAATGGCCTCAGACAGATTGCGCATCGGGGAAACCCTTTTCTGACCCAGCGTACACTCTCCGCACAGTATCTGTTTCATTGTTAGGAGCACAGACTTCCTGAACTCCATCCCCCCTCCACGGCCTCTGGCCACCCGACGTCAGCAGTATTTCCTTGCATGCCTTTCATGCCTGAAATTGTTGGGGCTTAGCTGGGAAACAGAAGGGATTTGGGGAAACAAGGGTAAGATAGGGTTTTCTTAGAAAAGAGAGGAATTTGCTTCCGGACACCACTTTGTTATGCACTGGCCGTGTTTACTCCGCACTTCACCATGGCTCATTTGGCCGCTCAGGCTGCCGCAGTCCCTCAGGCAGATGTTTCCTGCCCAGATCCTGCTCTGTACGATCTAGTGAGGTAGGAGCTGTCCCAGAAAAATTATGACTGCTTGGTTTCAAGCTGAGGTGTCTGTGAAATGTTTACAGGCAAGATACCACTGTGCCTATCCTATTTTTAGGACAAGAACATAGCCATGAAGTCATGCCAGGCCAGATGGCCTCAGGATGACAACAGACTCCCCTGTCCATTTTATTCACGGGAGCAGAGGTAATCCTGGGGAATCTCTGAATTAAGTTATTCAGCCCCTGGTTTCAGGCATCAGTTCAGGTCCAGGATAGCATGCTGGATGAGTGCCACCTTGGATGGGCTCAGCCGAGAAAAGCCACAGGACCCACAGTTTGTGTTTCAAAGCTGCCCAGTGATGCCTAGTCCCATCTAGGGTTTTCTATCCTCATTTTTCTGTTAATGCCCCAAAAGCCAGATCAGTGTGGAAAAAAAATCCCATAGGACCCTTGCCCAAACATCTGTTACGGCTCGCAGACCAGGAGAGCCGCAGGAGCTCTGCCTGCTAAACACCACCTCTCCTCTGAAGCAAAGGTCTGTAGGGAGACCTCTTGGGCTCTTCTCCACCAGGCTGTCTGGTTTTGTAGGCCAGAAATCCCAGATCTGTTCTGCTTGAAGATGTCCCACTCCACATGATGGAGTTTAACACACACCTGGCTGGAGGGAGGAGCAGGGGCTTGTGCATAGATGTCCACCAGCTCCCCCAAGAACTTGTGAGGTGCTACAGACACCTGAGTTATATCAGAGCAAAGAGTAATGCTTCTAGAGAAGAGATGGAGAAGGACTCTATTCAGAATGACCTATAGATCTGGGGTTAAGAAGAGTGCTTTGGAAATTAGGAATGCAGATTAATGTTGCCACACTGTTGGCCACCATGTCCCAGGGGCAGCGTGTCTGACCAGCAGCCTTGCAGCAGGACACAGCAAGGCAAGAAGCTCTTAGCTGCTCCTGGACTGTGAATATTTTCCATGAAAGTAAATTTCTAACACAATAGCATACAGATGAAAAACAGTCTCTGTACGAAGGTAGAGGAAACAGCTTGGTTTAGCTCTGACTCTGTGTCCTCTGTGACCCCAATCAATCTTATAGCAGCAAAAAATGAAAGCCCAGCTATGGCCCTGGCAGCGACAGCGATGGGGGAAGACCAAGGGACAAATACATCTGCAAGAAGCGGGCACTGATCCAGGCCAGAGGATGCTCCGCAATAAGAATTCCACATGGCAGACTTTTTTCAGGTGCTAACTGAGCAGGGATGATGGCTGGAGAGACACAGGCGTAGGTCAGGCAAAGGCTCTGGCCCCAGGGAGAAGCTTCTTGGAGTCTGCTGGCCCTCCGCCCTGGAGAACCATATATCAAGATGACTGTGCATAGAAAGAGCTGCTTACAGGATGTATTCCTTTTCCAGCCAGGCTTGTGAAGTCTAGAATCTCTTAGATTAATTCAGCACAATCCCATCACGGGTGCAGCAATGCTGTTGCTACCACACAGGTGGCACATTTCCCTGCATCCTGGCTCTTTGCCCTGCTTTTCCTTCCACTGCCTCTTTCCATCCTGTTCCTCCCTTTCCTACTTTCACCACTGTTGAAAGTATTGTGGAATAGGCTGATCCACGTGGTTTGTGCTGCCTGAGTGTCATCCCCCTTTTGTCAGCCCGTCGCAGACATTTCGGCTCTGAGTCATCAACGAGGACCCGTCCAAACAGTCACCAGCAGCTCAGCGGGGACTCACACTCAGGTAGTGCCAAGGAGGTATGAGTATTAGCTTGGACAATCAGAATTAGGAAATAAACCATTGGGCAAGAGATGATCGAGACAATATTTTCCACTCAAGCAGGGTTTCCACCATCGGTTTCTCTGATAAACGCCAGGAATTGCTTGCAAACAGATTGCAGGGTGCAGGTCAGCAGAAATGATCTGTTTGTAGTTACTGCCGTCAAAACAGTACGCGTACATAGATCTCAAACAGCCTCATAATCTGTGGTTATCTTTTCTCATTAACCATCAGATAACATGTTTGTTTTCCAGCTGAGAACTCGAATCGTGCCACTGTGCAGGGGATGGGTCCCAGCTCCTGGGTGCTCTGTGACTAAACCAACATCCCCCATGCTGCTGCATGAAGCCATCTCTGCTTACCAGGAGCAGGGAGGGGAGCTGCCCTGCTTCCCTCTCTGCCTGTTAACAGGATAATTTGGGTAAAAATTTGGGAACCCAAGTGCAATTTGGGGAGGTAGGGGAAGGGACTCCCTCTATGGCTAATAAGCTGATGGCACCGTAATATTGATATGCCTGCTAATTATGTGCTAATCCCCAAGCTGCAGTGCAGGATAGCCATGCAGGGACAGCAGCAAGATGAATTCCAAAGGTGAGTTAGCTGCAGGAATCCTGACCCCGTGGCTGGCACCAGACATATACACAATGCTGCGCTCCTATTCCCAACCTGAATGCTTACCTCCAGCTCTCTGTCTGCCCGAGTCATGTTACTGCACAACCACTGATGCCATCTGGATCAGCAGCATAACACGAGGTGACGTTAATGCACTGGGACACATCAAGGATGCGAGAAAGAAGGGGACAAGATGCTGCTCACATGTCACAGATAACATCTGAAGGTGCAAGGACACCAACTTGGCTATCCAGTTATGCACTAAGGTGTCTGCAGGTCCAGCAACTGGTCTGCCAGTGGCCATGAGCAGCAGCCTTGAGAACATCATCAGTGATAATACTACCAAGGTAATTAGAGGGAGGCACTAGTAGTTACTAGAGTTCAGTACTGAACAAAATAGAGGGAAAGTCATCAGAACATGTGTGTTCATGCACTGGAGGTGAGATCAGCCTGCTAACATTACACGTGGAAAACGTGGACTGTGCTCTCCTTCCACATCAGACTGCCCTGCATACAGCAAACATGCTGTGGGACAGCCACAAGTTGTGGCAGTGCTATGACCTGCCCAGGAGCTCTGTGCCATGACAAATAACTAAATTTGTGCTTTTAGCTGGGAGGTGTTTATCCCCATTTCATCACCCTGCCGTGGCAGCATGGCGAGTCCCGGGTGGGGAGATGGTTTGTGCTCACTCTCCTGGCTTAGTGGCACAGGAGGGATATTTCACCCTATTTCTCCTCCTCAGGTGTCCCTGGGGATGGAGCTTGGTCCAGCTCTGCTGGCTCCTGCATGCCCAGCAAGTCAAAGCCAAGGCTGTTACTTGTGGTAGATTTATTGTGTCCCTTCTACTAAATTTCAAATAAAATCGTATCCATATGCAAAATACGTTCCTGCTTTGGAAAAGGCCTGTTACAGGGCAAGTTGACATACCTCAAATTTGATTTCTTCTGATGAGATAAGGGTGTTCTTGGAGGAAATGATTGTACAATGAGGATGCCATGGGAGGTCTGAGAAGATCAGTCTGTAACTGCTCCATCTGCCACAGACTGCCTGTATAGCCACAGGCATATCCCTTAATGTCCTGCTGGGTGGTTTCCCATCCCATAAATAGCTGTTACAGTAACATTACCATCTCCTATATTCTACTTACCTTGTCTATGCAGACTGTAGGCTGTGTAATGCTGTGTGTTTCCTCATGACAAACACAAAAGGAACGATGCATTGTGCTCCTAGCAAGAAGGAAAATATTTAAGGACATGTAAATAATCTTGTGATTTGAGAAACTCGAGATATGTAGGTTCAGGAAGGGGAGCAGCAACCCAGCCCGCACCAGCTCTCCTCTCCCTGAGATGAACTTAACAACCTCCGCCCCTCCAGGTGCCAGTGCTGATTGCTGGATTTGTGCAGTTAATTTCCCGTTCATCATGTCTATTCAGTCTTCTCTGTAACTTCAATTTGGAAACAAAATTTGTTACAGGTATGAAAAAAAAATAAAATAAAGAGGACAAATTCTGTGCTGGTATAAATCAACTCTGCTGAACTGAAGCAGAGTATAACCCTGTATACCAGCCAATATGATGGCCTCTAACATCAATATTTATTAATTTCAGTACCAGGAATGCTAACAGTGGGTTTCGATGTGGTGAAAAGCAAATATTGATCTGTTTGCTCAAAAATCAGATTAGGCTGTGTCCATAGGTAAATATTCCTGCTAGCAAGTGAAGGAGAGGTTGATTCCCCTTCCCCCTTCCCAAAGGCAGCCAAACCAAACTGAAGCAAAAAATCAATTTGATATCTAGTGAGTTTTTAATTAAGGAGGTACCAAACCTGAGGGAAACAGAAGCCCTGGGGAGCTGTCAAATCACTCTCTTGGCCGAGACGGACAGTTCTGCAGCAGGGCTCATAAGGACAACCACCCATTAGTGTCTCTACTCCTTCTGAGCAAGGAGAAAACGCTCCCAGGGGAGAGGGGGGGAATAAAATTAAACCTCTTCATGAGCAGAAGCAAAGGTGCTTAAAAAAGCCCAGCTGAGCACACGCACTTCATGTTTTAGTCTCCTGTTTGCCCTTCAGCTCTGCTGCTCTGGGAGGCGATCACTCCCAGCACTGCCATGTCCTCCTCTTCCTCCTGGGATGTCCTGCATGGGGATAAAGGAGGTGGGAGAGCTGTAACAGGCAGGCCCTGCACTGTCTCCATCATCAATCCCTTTTTTCCACACAGAGCAAGCTCAGGAGCAGGAGCCAACCTGCCTGCCAAGCTCCCAACATACTCCAAAGGTTACTGGAGGGAAAGGTTGCTCAGGAATTGGCCAGATAGCAATTTGGCCAGGGGATAGATACCTACTTATTGTGCTTTGTGCTGATTTTATGTTGCTGCTCATCTCCAACCCAACATAAGGCGTCTACAGACATGATGCCATGGACCTCCCTTCCCAACACCTCAGAACTGAGGATATTTCAGCCCCCTGGCTTCCTGAGGAGGTAACTCCCAGCTCTTAGGGGCTAGATGAAACCTCTGCACCATGCCCCTTGGTCACAGAGAAGACTTCCTCTCTGTCCATCTCAGTCCCTTATCACAGTAGGTGGTGGCGCATGGGCAGGCAGGGCATACCCACACTTTGAACCCAGCCCATCAGGGGCAGTTGCATCCCACCTAACAGGGACAAAAGGCTGAATTAGCACCTGAACATGCACTTCTCAGGAGTGCTGCCAATTTAGATAGGCTGCTAAATATCTCAGCAGTCTTCTGCTAGCTACAGCAGGTAGCAAACCACACTTGTGCATGTGTTACCTGCAACTAAAATGATCCTCTTGCTTGTTTTCTGCTTATTTTGCTTTCCAGTGTGGAGAAGAACTGCCAAAATTGGAGGCAAATTCATAGGCACAGTATAGTTATACCCAGGGACTAAATCCAGCTCAGCTCTCTTCCCTGCTCCTTCTGCTCTGTGGGGAAGGCTGCACAGCCCCAGTGGTCTGACTGGCTTCTTCCTGCACTCCCAAGATTGAAAACCAGTCAAAATGCAAATGCTGCTTTTGCTCTTCTCAAGGAAAGCAACTGAAGGATGTTTCATCTTCTCCTATCTGAGCAATGCTTGTGGTGCTTTGGTTTAGCCTACAAATGTGCTAGTGTGGATTGGGCTTGCCTTCATACAGCACCTGGCACACTGGGGACCCAGTCCGAGACAGAAACAATTAGGGCATAACCCAAATAAGCAGCATCTTTAATCACGTACTTCCCCTGGCTGCTCCATCTCAGCCTGTAGAGAGCTGCACTTAAGCTAGGACTAGGCTGAGATGAGCAAAGAGCTATTTCTTTCACCATCACATGAGGAAAGATGCTAATTTCTCCTGTGGAGGCATCTATCTCGGTACGTACCAACCCATTTCCCATCTCCCAGACCACATACTGTTTTACAAGTTCACATTAAAAAAAAAGGTTAATGGGGGAAGCAGGCGCCGACAGTTATTTCCACTCTCCCAGACTGGTTCACTTCATTGCCATAATTCGGCTCATGCAAGGCTCCATAGAACAGTAATATCTAGACAAACTAGCTGTTCCCAAAATCCTCCTTATTTTTTTTTTCCTTTCAGCAAATCTTTTTCTTTCTTGACCCTTCTCTGGATGAACTTTGTCTTGAATAAACAGCAACATCTGGAATTCAGCAAAACACACCATAAAGGGAATAAGATGTCCACAGCAGTTTGGCTGAAAAGGACAAACCCATTCATTACTCAAATGAAAAGTTACGATTGCTAAATGTCAGATTAAATTAAAAAAAAAAAAAAAAAGAAAATATTGAATCCTTTGTACATGCCCTCTGTGTCCTCTGTGTCCTTGCCAGCTCAGTGTGCACAAAGCTGTCCCTCTGTTATTGCTGCTCTGTCTTTCTTCTTTCTGGTTTTGCTGGAAGTGCGTGACCACTTGCTAATTGCTGGTGCACACGATCAGTTGGGTTACTTTTACAGTGAAAGCCAGTGAAAGCAATGAGCAGCTCAGAAAGGGGATGGGAGATGTCATCTCAGCCTCCCTCCTCCCAGCTGAGCAGCCCAGGGATGCTCCAGGAGGAGCAGCACCATCCCACGTGCTCTGGGGTAGTGACAGCATGGAGCAGCTGATCCCTGAGCACTATGCACATAACCAGACCAAATCCTTTCCAGTGTTTTGCTTTTGGGTGTGCCATGCCTGCTTTATGGTCCAAACTCACTTTCTTCAGAGCATGAGTTGAGGTCATGAAGTCGTAGCTCCCATCAATCATCAGGAACAGAATTAGTTCTTCAGTGAGTTGGGCAACCTCTGTCTTAGAAGATTGCTCCAAGGGGTGAAGTGCTGCCAGCCTGGAGAATAAATATCACTTCAAGGAGTGTCTCTCTGTGAGTTTCTGTTTTATACAAGGAAGCCGTTTGTGTCTTTGTAGCACAGAAACAAAATTAGGAACTGGATTGTTCTCATGGAGCCAGCAACAGCACACTGGGAAGGATTTAGTTTGCAACTATGGATGAAGCCATAGTAAAAAAAATCAAGAAGGAAGCCTCAGATGTCCACAAACACCTTCTTCTTCTGCTGGGGGCTGCCTGGAAGCCACTCTGAGCATCCCTCTTTCCCTACAGTGTAACCCACCCTCTGACAGGCAGAGTATCTGTGGGGACTGGTGAGATTGCTGCTTCAAGTGGCCATCAGCTTGCCCACCTCAAAAGCACGGGACATGGAGCACATGGACATGGACATGGACAGTGCATGGACAGCTCAGCGCTGGGCTGGTGCCCGTGGCCTCCTGCTGCCTTTTGCCTGTCTTTTCATGAAAGCAGGGATGTAGAGTTTAGCACTTGTGAAATCAAGCCCTAAACAATTTCCAGCCAAGTCACTGCATTAGAAGGCAACATTTGGGGTAAGCAGCATTACGGTTTATGTAAATAAGTGAGAAGTTTTTCCTGTTTCCTCTCCTTCCTCACAGAGAAAACAGAGGTTACATCCATACTAATAAATTAATCCTGAAGATCCAGGTTTGCAGGTTCAGACCCCAAAATTGATCATGTGTGCTGCCATAGCGGGGTTGAGGTCTGGGCCACCAGCACCTCCCCAGCAATCCCTGGGAGCAGATTAGGGGCCAGAGGCTGCTCCCAGACACCTGCTTGGATGTGGTCAGCCTGGAGGGGTGGAGAGGAAACCACCACACAGGCTAGCTGCCTGAAACCCGGGAACTGCTCCTGGCTATGTTTTAAGTTCACTGGTGTGGACATACCGTAAACATCTGCATTTCTGTCCCAGGGATAACCTGAGAGCAGCCCTGCCAGGCAGAAGTAACAAGTGCACATAGTTCTGGGTTATACCAGAAGAAAGCATCACCTTAGACCATAGGTAACTAAAATGATGCCAAAAACCACATAGCCCTCACTGTGAGCAGGAACTGCTTCATAGCACGGGTAACACATCAGTTACTCACAACAGCTCTATCTCCTTGCAGTACATACTACTATTTTAGTGACACAAGGGTATGCCTATAACAGATATCTTGTAGTGCTACCGACAGGCATGAGGTCTCAGAAAAGGGTGCAAGGGGTGGTCGTTGTGTCACAGGGGTGTCCCCACCTGCCACCTGCCCTTGGGGACAAGTGCCTGGGAAAATCATCAGCTCACTTTCCATTGTTAGCAGCATGTTCTTGTCCACTGAAATTCCCAGTGTGTGCCCTTCTCCCCCAGCCACATGCCGTCGCTCTGGGGAAAAAAAAAATAAAGAAAAAAAAAAGATATATAAGATATATTTTAGATTTAACTTTAAACAAAATAGAGCCAGGATATAAATCGGAGTGTGGATTACAGCTGGTGTCCTTCAGAAAAACATCTATGAGATTCCAGCAAGGAGCGATGAGGCAGACCTTAGATTCCCAATTATATCCTACAGACCATATAAACACATGGTGCCATCAGGACAGAGATGCTGGGAGAGATAAATCTTCGAAGGCTGGTCAACCTCATGCATGATATGTGCCTGGCCTCTACTAACGCCCGACATCCGTCCAAGGGCTGTCATAAATTTTATGAGTGTAACAATCTCCTGATCCTTTTTTCTTACTAGTACCCACTGGAATGCAGCATTTACCCCCATACTTGCCGCACTGCTATTTATAACTCTGAACCCATCAGGATGAGATATTTTTCCCCTGAAATCTTAGAATAGTTCAACCGAGTGAAAAACAAATCATCTCTCATTTCTTTTATTTCACACGTTTAACCACCAGGGCTGAGAATGTGGAAACAATCCTAATAATGCCGTCTCAGATGATCCTGAATTCCTGCCGGCGATTTATCTGTGGTCAGAAGGACAGCGATTCAGTGCCCACCACACGAACTGCAGGGAGCTAGAAAGAGCTTTGCCTGGCAGAAATTAATGCCTGTGCTCGGTCACTGTGCTTAAATAACTGAGCAGACCTGGCAATGCCCAAAACTCTGCAGAAAGTCACAGCTGATAGGGACCCAGATGGCAACGCTGTGCCCGCTGTGAGGTCAGGCCAAGGCGTGTAGCTATAGTTATCTCATCCCTCCCCAGTCCCACGTTTTCAGCTCACTCAACTGTTACATTTGTCACTAAGCAAGAGAGGGGATCTTCATACAAGGGACTTCTACTTTATTACTGCCTTGTGCAGCGCTTGGTGTTGCAGGAACTCATCCCAGACAGAGCTTGCAAGATGAACAGTAGCTGTGTTTGAGTTCTGGCCTCCCTTCCTCTTGCTCATGTACACATGCACATACACACGTATACACAGCCTCTCCAGGGCCTGCTAACAACCCCGAGAGGCCCGATTCTGACCTAAATTATGTTAACGTTACAATGAGTCATACATTTTGTTACCTCAGTAGAATTGCTGCTGATTTATACGTCTACCAGGAACAGGCGCTGGAGGGGTGTTGCTGGAACAGGGCATGCACCCTCTGTCGACATGAAATTTCCTCCAAGGGGGAAGGTATTTGGCACATCAGGTTTATTTTTGTAGCTGTAGGGAAGTTTTCTGATATTTGCTTGTGCCCCAAAGAGGTAAGGACCAGGTTTGCCATAGGGGAAATCAGCCCAGTTCCTCACCACAAGCGGAGTGAGTGGGCTCAAGTCATACAAGGATGCATAACCAAAATGGCAATGATGGTTGCACACACTCTGAATGTGTTACACATTCAATGGTGAAGAAGAAAGAAACTTCACAATTATTCACAAATTGGGACCAAGTGGGATTTACTCCAATTGAAATAGCTACTGATGGATCCCATCTGTTCCTAGAGTAGATCAGCTGTGCAGGAAAATATGTAGTCTCTGACTAGGAAGGGTGGGTTGAGCAGAAATGAGATCAGAGCCTCACTGCTGTTAGACCTCAAGCTAGAGTTGTTCTTCTTCCATCTTCTTGTGTGTGAATGGTTTTAGATGGTAAGTTTATCTCTAAGAATAAAATTCTGCCTGAGCTCCTTTTGCCTTGTGTGTTTCCCAATCTAGGGAGAACCAATTAATTTTAAAAGTCCAAGAAGTTCCTCCTTTATCAGCTAAACCATCCCCTGTGTTCTGAGATAAGGATTTATTTCAGCAGTTTCAAAGCGAGCTCTCTTGCTGCCCCTCCCCAGAGTGGGGGTTGCTGGACTCTTAAGATTTGGTCATAAATTGTGCAAATGCTCCCAGCATTTTTAATTAATGTGAAATTTGCATTTTAATGAAGTGAGTGATGGAGCCCTCCAGCAACAGAAACAATTACATATTGACCTGATGAAATAGCAATAGGATGGTTGCAGCAAACGCGTTCAGCTCGGTTTTTGATGGATTCAGAGTGTTCTCCTGGGTGTCCCAGCCATGCCCATGGTTAATGAGCAGAGGTGCAATGCCCCAGAGCAAATGCCAGGGAGAAACTGATGCTCCTGGGAGTCCTGCTGATCTAGGCAGGTTACACCAGATGTTAGCATCCCTACCCACCTTTTGGTTGGGTTTGCTCAAGGGTCGGAGAGTGGAAGGAGGGAGGAACAGAGGCCTGAGCCTTCTCTTCCTTATCACTAGCATTGGGTGCTGGTGGCGCTCTAGGAGTATCCACTGGTGATCCTTCCTTAGCAGTGGCAGTAAGGGAGAAGATATTCTGCACTACTCCTTGCTTTTTCAAACCTCCTGCCCTGAACAGGGACAAATGGCAACTTAGCCGCTTCTCAACTCAAATCAGCATGAAACAGAAAATTGTTTTCACCATTTATGCAATTCCTCCCTCCAGTAAAGCAATTCCTCCCTTTTCCAGGTGATGATAATCTGCATAGCTGCGTTTCAATATGCAGGACTTGCTTCGGAAGCTTTGAAACTCCACTGCACCTGGCAATGGCCCAAAAGGACTGTTGTTCGAGTGTTTTACGTACTGGGGAGCTGCCTCAGCATGCGTTCCTGAGAGCAAGGCCAAGGCATTAGAACACATTTTGCATCCAGAAATTATTTATGAAGCCCAGAGGAAGTTTAACATGACAGGAAACATTAAGACTTTCCAGCCTGTTGAACAGAGAGGAACACACCATGGTTTCCTAGCAGATCTCTCTGGTTCACAAGGTATTTCATACATTTCGTCTCCCCAGCTGCTTTACAGTAAGCAACAAATGAATGGCCTGATTTTGTTTATTTATTTATTTAGTTGTTATTTGGGCAGGGACAAGTAAAATTTCAGTTGAGCTGAGAACTGATTTCTGATCATCTCAATCAAAATTCAGTCTTGATTCTATTTCTCCAACACATCGACCCCCATGACAGCATGAGCTCTAATTATCTCCAAGCCCTCACAAACATCAGAGCAGATGCAGAGGGAGTACAAGTGGCTCTAGCTCATTTTGCCTCACAGCACACATTATATCACAAAGTTAAAGGCCTCTCCAAATGTTCATTCCTCCAGACCATCTACCAGAACAAAAGAGGACAAAACTGGCAAGGGCAATGGAAGCAGGATGGTTTTTTTCTGCACATCATAATGGAGAAGCTATTTAGTAAATCTCCTAAAAAGACAGCAGAATGAGACTTATGCTGTAACATCCAGAAGCGAGTGATTCAGGCAGATTTAGCTAACCACAGTAATGTGGTTTTCCTAGCTCAGGCTCTGAGAAGACTTCCAAGTCCTGACTGTACTGTGTTTGCTAACAACTCAGCTCCTCTTAGCTCTCCTCTCCCTGCCCTCACTTTTGTGGTCCTGACCTCTGTGTGGTTTTACATTGGTGTTATCTGACCAACTCCTCTCTACTTTCGCTGCCTCCCCTGCTCACTCACCACTTTGGAACACTGCAGGAACAGAGGTACGTTACTTTTTGTTGTTATTATACTGTCAAGTGCCATCTTGAGCAAACCTGCCCACCACATATAACCCATACCTCAGCAAACCCTCCTAAATGGTGATTTGCACAGCCAGTTGCAAGTAAGAGCATGCAATGAAGGTAATGTGGGAGCATGCAAACAAAAGAGCACTCCTGATCTCCAACTGGGTCATTACAGAGGAGGAGGCAGCTGGTTTGGGGGTTAAAATTCTGCTAAAGTCCCACATTAGGTGCTCAAATAAGGATCTTTGGTCTGGGGACTATCTAGACCTGTGCCTGGTCTTCACTGAAGTCATTCTTCTTGCTCTATTTACACAGGACAAAAATTTTTGCTACCTCATATATGTCAAGTCTAACTCATCTCCTCACTCAGCAGTTCTCATTTTACATCTCCCTTTCCCTAGCTCTGACGCAGCTGTCTCTCTTTATCCATCTGTTTTTTGTGGGGCTTTTTGGTTGTTGGGTTTTTTGTTTGTTTTTTATAAATGTTACTAGTTCTGTACTTACTCCTCACATTGTGCTTCCCTGCATATTTTCTCTTTTGGAATACCATTTCTGCATTAAAGAAATCCATCTCTTCCACTCTCCGGACTCTGGACTTCTCAGTCCAGGTGACTTCATTAGTTTCCTTAATTTATCAAAATTCGTTCTTTGCAGCCTTGGCAAATGATCTACTTCTGTTTATCCTTCATGCGGTAAATCGAACCCACTTACAGTCACGCAAGCTGAGGCCATTTCCTACAGTCTGTTCTCTCTCACGGCAAGAGCATGACTAACATTAGATAATGAAAATCAGAAAAGTCAGTATCTGCAATCTGGTCATTAATCAATGAAATCTAGAGCAGTCACCAAGGGAAAAAAAAAAAAAAAAAAAAAAAGCAGTTCCTTTAAGTCCTTCTTCAGCCCCTGTAATTGTAATACAAAGACAGGAGGGGGGATAAATTCTTGCCTTGCCTCCTGAGAACCAGCAGGTGCTCTGAAGCATGAAAGCCAATTCACCATCATTTAACTTGCAGAATTATACATTTCAGTGAGTCTAATATTATAGCAATATTTGACCCTGTTACCCCCCCCTCTCATCAGCCTCATATGCCAGGTGACTCTAAAGAGGAGGAATACTTCTGATTTCAAACAAAGTTATGCAAAGGGGCCCTCGAACCTTTCCTCTTCATGGGCAGTAGAACAAAAACACAAGACAATTTACTATTGTCCAGTTCTTGATACCAGGAGATTCTTTGAAATACTGTAGAGTTTTTCAATTCTATATTTCAAAATGCAGGGGAAGTTATTCCTTACAACAGACCAAAAAAAAAAATTAAAATAGCTGTTTTCTCAAAAAAATCTGGTTATTTTTTTCCCAGCCTTGTATGTGGGAATTTGATGGAACATCAAACTGCACAGAAATTCATAAAATGATAATCAAAGACATACTGGAAGACTAAGAAAAACATGAAAAAAATAAAATTAAAAGATATCCACTTCCCTGTTTGGAGAAGGGAGGACAGCTTTTAAAAATGTTTTCAATATGTTTGCCTCTCACATATATATAACGTATTGTCTGTTTTTTATAAATATATCATATGTACATATATAAAAGCTGAGCTCAAGGAATACAGCCTAGAATAGTTCTAGAATAGCTGCTGTTCAAAAGATAATAATACAATCCTATTATCCCATGTATAACACATCACTTTGACTTGCTAAAAATGTGCTACATTTAGAGCAGCAACCCCTCTCAGGAGCTAGAATTTATCTTCTGATTTCTGAACCACTACCATTAATAGAACTTCTTAGGGATAAATTCCCCTAACTTAGTACTCTGAAGATCTGTGCCCTCAGATTTAGAATTTACCTACTACATCATATGAAAAAAAAAAAAAAGGTTATTTTTAATCAAAAAGTAAGGAAAACCACCAACTGTGTTTGTCACCATATGAAGAGCAAAGACAGACACATGAGACATTTTGGGAAAGAGAAAATTTGTCCCACAAAATGAAATTTTGGTTGTTTCGGTGCATCCTAACATACAGACCTGCACGAATTTAGCCCTTGTTTCAGTTGTAGAAATATTTCTCCTGCTATAAGAAATTCATTTCCTTCTGCCTGATGGGACTATGCTAGGGGCAATGCCAAACCGCAAAACTACTGATAATTGTGTGGGACTCTTAGTACTGCTTTTTGATACTGGTCTCCTTTGCATAAGTGAATAAAAACTCATTAATGCAGAACGTGCATCTCATCTTCTACACCACCTATAATTGGATCCATCTTTAGCTGGAAAAGACTGTCTCTCTCACTTGCTGGCAGCCTGGTCCAACAGACCGCACTGCCTATCTGGGCAACCTGCTGCAGTGCTCAACTCTCCTTGGGGTGGAAACCTTTTCTCCACCTCAAGTTTGGACCTCCCACATACATTTTTCATCCACTGTCTCTCTTGTTGCTGCCCCGAGCCTCCAAAAAGGGCCTGTCTCCATCTCCTCTGGAAAACACTGGCAGGTTGACATTAGGCACTCAAAAAAAAACTCTTTTCCAAGATGAAAAAAGAAGTTCCTCAGTTTCTCCTCAAAAGGCAGTGCTCCAGCCATGGTCCCCCACTGATGGAAGTGAAGACACTCACCTGCAGAATACTCCATGGCCATACTCCTGAAGTACTTGCCAGAAAGCTTCAAACCCACATCTTTCCTAAGAATGAAGAATTGTTTACATTCAGCATACTAAAATATTCATTTGTTATGACTAAATCATACAGTATTGAGATTATCTAGTGTGGTCTGGAGCTGCTTTTGTGAGTAGGTGGCAATGATGGTTGAGAAAATTTGACATACCTCACTGTGGAATATTTCCAAGCAGAAGAAAATAGATTTTCAAGGCCTTAAATATATTTCTGGAAGAAGAAGAAAAAAAAATCTCTTTGCTCTAAAATTAAAATCTGGAAGAGAAAAAAAAAATCAAACAAACATTGGAATTAGTTCCCACTTTCAGCTACAGAAAAGAAAAAAAAATAAAACAGTTTTCAGTTATTATTAATGTAGGAGCTTTTTTTTTATTCTTTTTTCTCCCACCAATGGACAGCAGACATTCTTGAGGGAAAAAAAAAGTTCTATTGCACTTTTGTGAACATTATTCATGAAATCAATTTTTTTTTTCTTAACAAGCTCTTACAGAAGACATGATCACTCCCACTGCATGTCATAAATTTGCACAGTAGAGCACTCATGACAGTCTTCTGATGGGACCATTTTTTAAGCTATAATAGGTAGATTTCCTCAGCCTCTCCTCCAGTCTTGTCATAAATCTATCACACCAGCCTCTGGCTTTCCATTTCAGCCTACACACACCTGCCTTGTCCCCTTATACCTTCTCTACATGCTTTGTTTGTTCATAACAGCTTTTCTCTTGAGGATTTTACTTCTTGGGTGCACAGCACCATCCCTGCCCTGCCTGCCTCTGAGTATTTCCTTTTGGCTTGGCTTCCTTTGGAGAAGGATGAGAAGTGCTGTTGAGGTTGTATTGTCCAGAAGTCCCAAGAAATGACTGCACAGAAAATCCTGTTTGTGCACTGCTCCAAAAACCATTCTATGTTTTTTTTTTTTCCCCATGGCAGGGAAGTTGTCCTGGAAGAAACAGCAGAAGTTATCAAACCACCTGGTGTTCCTCAACCTTGCCTAAGATAAGAAGGCAAAACCAAGATCATAACTTTGTAGAAGTCTGACAAGAACATCAGTACTTACTTTCCACTTTTAAACTGGAGAAAGGGCCACATCCCTTTCACTGCCACATTCCCTCAGGAGAAAAGTAGAACTCATCCCCACCTCCTCCTCCAAATCCACATTCTAAACCTTTTACGACCCCTATCTGGTTTGTTTTGTGGTTGGTGGTTTTGAATCTGGACAATTACACACCATGTTCATAGGTAGGACAGACCATGGGTGTCCAAACTGAGCTGATGAACCTCAGGACAGAATCACGGCCTTGTATTTATTTTAATCACCAAGTCTTCTTTGGGGCATAGCCAAAATTCCTGCCATCAGAAGTCATGTCCACAATTGTTTCATTTTCTAAGAATCTCCCTAATGCCTTCAGCACAGCTGACACCACGGTCCTGTGTAATTCCTGTCTCTCCAGCCCCACACCTGTCACATCCCAACCTGCCTGGCTCCTGCAACCACAGACCATTTGCTGCTCCATCACAGAGCCCATCTGTGCCACACCTCCACCCCCAGCTCTCCCAGATTTTTTGCAGTAGATTCAAAATCCAGAGAGTTGTGGCACCTACTGCCTCACCTCCCCATGCCCCCGCTTATCCATTTCTCTGTAGTCCCATATCTGCTGGTCCCCATAAGCTTCAACACCACAGAATCTCCAAATCATGCATGAGGACTGTGATCTCTGTCTGCTGTCACACCCCCTGTGCCAAATGTAATCCTTTGGCTCAGCCTAGCATCCACCATTCAGCTACACCTGGAAACAAAAGCACCTTGGCAGAAAACTGATCCTAACACCATGAATCATGGAGTGTAAGCTTCCCTGCAGCCCTTCAAGGGCAGAGTTGAAGGTGTGCATCAGGCTGCCGCCTCTTGACACTGCCTTTGCCCAGCCACACCACTTAGCACCTTCAAGAGTCTTTATGAATAACCTCAGAGAAGGCACCCAAGCTTGTCACAAACTCAGCGTGCTAAGCCTGCAGCAGAAAATGAGCACGAAACCCAAGGATTGTTAAATCTCACGTTCTCACTGTCTTAACGTAGGCGTCATTCCCCGAGACCGCAGCAGAAGCAGCTCTTCTGCCCTGACTCAGGCTTTCACAGCATCACTGTATGAATCACATCCTCGAAGACTCTGTTTCTCTCTGTTGACTTCATGGGGAGCTCCAGACAGCTGGCTCAGACTCACGCGTAGACACTGCAGATGTCCACGTTCAGACATTTGGATCCCCTGCTCTACGCCAGCTGCTGGTGATAAACAAAACCCTGTCCCTTCCTACCCCTCCAGCATGCCTCAAGCTGTCCGAAGAGAATCACTGAAGATTTTCTCCAGAGAGCGGGCACCCTGGGCTGGGCTCAAGCTCCATGCTTAGCCCTCCACAGACACTTTTTCCTGGTGTCTTCTGCTGCCTGGGCAATTGTGGGGCAAGCACAACTCACAGTGCTCCAGTTCATGCCTGACTGGGAGGCACCCTTCAGAGATGGGCTCAGTACACAGTTCAGAAAAAAAAAAAAAAAAAAAAAAAAACTAAAAGGCTTTCTAAATTCTACCAAGGGCTTTTTTAGCACTCAATAGCCTTAGGATTGTAGGAGGAGATGAGGGGGATAGTTTTGAGTCACTCTCCTTGCATTTCCTATCTCCCTAGTTTGGTCACGAGACCCAGCTGAAGGTTAAGACCCAGATTTTCACCCACAAACATTAGCATATTTTTAATACAAACATTTTCGACGCAACTTGTTTAATATTCCACTTGTAAAGCATCCGGCTTGGGTCATCTATGGCATCCTGCGGCATGGGCGTAGGCTCAGCACTCCGCTGCGCCGCACCACGTCGGCCGCCGCGGGGATGGTCTCTCCTAATCCCTTTACACACCACCCCCCTTTGAATCCATCCCCTCTGAGAATGTGTTTCTCATATTGCATTCCCTTGGCCACTAAACACTGATTTGAACAGACAGCTGCAGCCGGGGATTTCTGCCTGTGCGGCCTTCCAACAGCTGCTTGCGGTCTCTGCGTCGGGCCCAGCAGGCCACAAGAGCGGCCACCCTCCGAGTGTCCTCTGACAGCAGCAGGAGAGGGACACAGCCTGGAAAAGCCAGCAGAGAGTTATACTGGCCAAATGTGGAGTTCGATGAAGGCCATGGGTGAAAAATTAGGTTTTTTGTAATGTGCATTGAAGGTGAGCCTGGCTGGCTGCAGACGACTCCTCTTGCAAGAGTATGTCGGGCCCAGGGGAGCATGGCTGGGATGTGCTCATGATACCTCAGTATGCTCGTGGCATTCATAGATGTGCATTGAGCTTCTATACACCCAATTTTCACCTCTTGAAGCTGGAGGGTCCCTGAATACTTTACAAACACAATCTGAGCCCTTCCAAGGATGTGACTTCTGAATGGCTTAACCCAAGTGGTGGAGCTGTCTCTAAAAGGGGTGACACTCCCTCCTCAGCATTTTGCTACAGCCCCTGAGAAACACTGGAATTTTTGTGAAATGATTTTGCTGATCCAGCTGGAAATTAGGCATGGTTTGGAATGGTTTGATTTTGGATTGCCTGATTTTCAAGCCTGGTCACTGGCCTGATCTGATACACTGAGCAGGCACAAAGGCACTGAGCTGACCCATGGGAGGCAGTCTAATACACATGAAAAGACAACTGTTTTGTCTGTGCTAAAGACAACGTCTTGGTGTGGACGTGACTTTCTGGCACATTTGTTTTTTTTCCATGCAATGTGTCAGTATGGTGATGGTGCTGCTGCAGTAGATGTTCATTAACAGCCAGATGACTTCCTCTCAGAGAATCCTCTCCCAGGCAAGTCTTAGCCTGGTGTTTGTTGCTGTCTTTGTAGAAATGTAAAATACAGATTTCTTGCAAAAATAGTCCCAGAAACACCAAGACTTTCCCTCCTATCTAAAAATCAGTAGAAGAAATTTTAAACCTCTCCTTGGTTTTAAGAAGATTGCATCCACACATCTATGGAGTGAGCTGTGGTTCAAATTCTGTTCTTGTCATGGAAAAAAAAAAAAACAAGCTGCAGTTTTCTATCCCTTCATACCTGCCAACAGATCTTCAAGGAGACATGCATCCAGGATTGAAATGTTGTGTTGTAAGGGATATGGTGATTTAAAGTTCTTTTCCCATCAGTTACAAATCATCCCCAATTGTGTCTCCTCTTTTTTTTTAAATGAACAATAACTTCGCAGCAAATTGCACCCCAGAACTTGGGATGTTGGGAAATCCAGACAAGAAGCAAGCTGTGAGTGTGCTTCCTTGGGCTCTTCACTAATGGGGGTGGATGGAGCCTTTGCCATGGACTGGAGATTTCTCAGAGGTGGGGCAGCGAGGTGCTGTCTCTGGTGAGATTAGGAAATATCTTTCTTCCTTGTCTTTGCTGATACCACAGACAATATAAATGTGCAGAATGTGATCTTGTAAAAGCTTTCAGTCTGAGTTGGAGCTTTGCATTCCAGCTGTCAGGTCTTTACTTGTTTACCTTGGAGCCTGGCTTCAAGGGATACGATAGAAGAGATAATTGGAATGGAGAGGCTGCCAGCAAGTGGAAAAAAAATGTTTCAATAAAAAGTATTTTATTCTGCTAAGGATACTTATATGAACAAATAGGACCCTTGGGTACACAGCAGAAATAATCCTAAGCATTCCTTTCCCTTTCTCTCTCTACACCTACCTTCCCTGAAGCAGGTTTCATACCACACACAGCATCTATGCATGCAGCTCACTGTGGATATCTCAATCCCTCCCCACCATGAGCCACAGGAATTTTTGAGGCCAGCTTTGCCATGCTGTTACAGAGGCACAGCAGATTGGCTTAGTTCAACAGCTGGAGGGAAACAGGGGTGCAGGCATCCCTCTCTTACAGACCTGAGACCATCCTCTGATCCTTGCCCACCAGCAGCTCCTGGAGGGCTTACAGCAGCGATTTGTCCAGTACAGAGATAAGAACAAACCCTGAAACCCAAATAGGACCTCACACTTTGAACTCTGTTCCCCTGCAGCCACCTAAATCTGGCTTTTACAAGAGACAAAAGGTCTTCAGGGTTGCCTAGACCCAACCTTTGAAAACATGTTCATGACCAAGTAACCTCGTTATTTATTATTAGCACATCTCTAAACAAAACCTACTGGAGGAAGTGCCGTGTTTATGTGCTAAGCCTCCAGTGCTTTCTGCTTCAGTGAGCCAGGATGCAAAGTCTGACTGCAACAACAACAACCAAGTCAAAGAAAATTAAGTCAAGGCCACGAATGGCTCTTATTAAACTTTCACCTCCCTCAGCCCCTCAGCCCCTAGGTTTCTGATTTGGATGAAGTATTTCAGCTGGCCTATTCAAATCACCTGGCCAGTTTTCTAATGAATTACTCAAGTAATATTATTCATGAGAAACCCCTGGGTTCACGTTGTGGTTATCACCACCAAATAGAGCCTGAACTCCAGAGAAGATGTGGCCAGTTAAACCAGTTCCTCTGTCTAGGAGCTCAAACCCTGCATGAGCATCTTGTGTCTCACAGGCACAAAGGAAAGCGGGATGCTCAGAGCCGACAAGCAGCCTTCCTGGTCCAGTCTTACACAGCTGGTGAAGAAAAGCAGATGCACTGCTGGGCTAGGTAGTTTGTGCTCAGGGGCTGAATAGGAAGCCAGAAACTGATTCTGTCTGGCTCATTGTCTCCGTGCGTTTCTGCTTTCTCGCTCTGAAGCTGTGTTAGTTTGCAAAGCCCTCCAGGTTCATCATTTGAACATGTCTAGGTCAATATCTTCGATAATAAATTCAAGGATCAATTTTCACTTCTTTTATAACAGTCCTTCTTACCTTATCCTAATAGGAAAAGTGAATAATGACACCAATGTTATCAAGTCCTCTTCAAATGATAAATGCCTTCAACATCAACTATGCAAAGATCAGGGGAACATGCATGCCATGGTCTTTTACTGTAGGTCACAAAGTATGACAAAATGAAGCAGATTTCCTCTTTTTCATAGAGCATCCAAGAAAATAAGGTTTCCATAATTTGAGTCTTTGATTCGATATTTCTTTCTCAGCAGGGGGAAGTTAAAAAAAAAAAAATGAAGCCACTGAACGTAAATGTTGAGTATAAACTTGCTTTTGCTTAATGCTAATGTTACTGTTCTTTTCCAGTCACATATTTAATTGCTGAACACATCCTGTACAGGATTTCCACCAGACCTCTTATGTGTACTTGCCACAACGTGCAGTTGTTTCCATCCTTCACTCAATACAGATGCTCACATACAGAGCTAATCTGATTTTCTTAATGAATGTGATGCTGTAGCAAAAGCACAGCTAAAGCACAGCTGAATAATCTTGAGACAGCTATTCAGCCAAGACTTAAATATTTCAGGAAAATGGTAAATTCCTTTTTGTTTTAGTTTTTTATTTTCAACAGGCAGGCTTTGCTTCCAGTGGCACATGCATGAATCCTGAACAGACCTCTCTCATTTTGCTGCCCTGATTTCACCAATTCACTTGAACATAGTGGTTGCGTACACAGTGGGAAAGGGTGTCAAAGCATTTGGTTTATGCCAGAAAAATCAAATCTCACCCCCACCAATGTCAGAGCTGGAAGCTGCTGTAGGCTCCCTTGGAAGGACCTTAGTGGTCCAACACGGCTTCTCCAATCCTAAAGCTGGGAAGAGGCAATTGGCCTGCTTGGATCCCAGCCCCAATGGTACAGGTTACCACAGAGTCTCCTCTTTGCTCTTTTTGGGCTGTAATTCAGGGTATGATTAAAAAAAAAAAAAAAAAAAAAAAAAAGTGAATTCTTGGAAGCATGCAACGTTTCTCATATAAAAATTCCTTCAAAGTCAAACCCAGTGTGAGGCATTCACAGAAAGCATTCCAAGTAAGCAAAGCATGAGCAGTTACACATTAAAATAGCCTTTCTCCAGGTAACCGCAACAATAAAACAACTACCAGAGCTGGCATGTCTCAAGAAGACCCAGCAGGAAAAGTAAGAAAGAGCAGAGAGCTGAACTTGAACTTACCCCCTGGTGATAACCCCCAGCCCTGGGGCTGGGGATTTTGAAGAAGGGACTTACCAGGGGGGCTGACAACAGCACGCAGGTTTCTGAGGAAAATAGAGCCTGTCATCTCACTGCTCTTCAGAAAGCCACAAACAGAGGCATGAAAGAGCAAAGCAGCAAGGAAGAAAGCTCAACTTGGTTTTGTCCAGGAGCAGTTGTTGAGTGAGCCCAAAGGGCTGGCAGAAATGCCCTGAGGCTGGGGTCACATCTTGTCAGCTGGGATTATCCTTGTGTAAATCCCACCATGCAGAGGGCATTCCTGGTGGTGTCAGGGGGTCTGCCATGGTGACATTAACACCAAAAGCCACCTGTTTCTGAAGGACAAAGATGAAATCACAAGTCCAGAAAGACATAAGTGCTTGAGCAGGGTGGGTCAAGCTTTGTTAAGTGCTGTATGATCAGATTAGAGAGAAGTGGTGCTAATAAAAGGCCAGATGAGGGTAGATTTGAAGCCACTGGAAAAAGGCTTGCTGAATTGAATGGGTGCAAGGGAGGGCAAACCAAGGGCTTTGGGCAACTCCAGGCCTAGTCCCTGATGCTTATGGCATGCAGCTCAAAGGGCGAGAGTAATGGACCATAGGCTTCTTCCAACCCGATGTCCCGTGCCTCCATGGACATCTTAGAAACTTTCTGAAGTTTCTTGAAAAAACTGTTGGAATAAGAAATGTGCCATAAGCATAACACCTTGTCTTCTTGTCAGCACCCTGTCCTGCGACTAAGAATATCCCAGTTCAATCACTGGCACTGCCTCTGACTTTCTGGGTGATGGTGAAAATAAAACCAAAACATCCGAGCAGTCAAGCTAAATGTCCCAGTAACAGAGCAGTCTTTTTTTTTTATAAGGAGCTAAACTGGGTAAACTGTTCAACCCTGTGCTGAGCTTTCAGTGCCCACATGTACAAGGACAAGAGCAATCCATTCTTCCTTCCTTTTGCTTGCCCATCTCAGAGCAGAGCCCTGGGTTTGCTCTGTGTGTGTATAGCACCCAGCACACAAAGCCCCAGGTCTCACCAAGAGCCTGCTGCAGTCAGCTGCAGTCTCCTCTCCCTGGCTGGCAGTGGGCACAGCACCACGAAAATGCTGCTTTCCTTAACTTAACGTACCATGGTTTGTCAATGAGGAGCAAACCAGCACAACTGAACTGCCCTTGCTCATCTTGTGCCAGGTAAGGATGCAAATCTCCTCTTTGACCAGGGACAGAGCAGAGCCAGAGGTTAGCTTGTTGTGACTTAGGGAATCCAAAGGCTTTGCTCTTGTTTTTTTTTTTTGCCAAACCCTAAATCCAGCACCATGTTGTGACTGATACTATTGCGGGAGGGAGCCAGAGGCATCAAGCAATAAATTAAAAAGAATTAAGACCATCTGCTGCCCAGGATTGCCAGTCCTGCAGAGTCAGCCGAGAGAAGGAGTTACAATATCCGAGCTACATTCCCTGGAAAGCCATCTAAATCCAATCAGTAGTGCTGTGTCCCTCTTGCACGCAGCAGCAGGTGAAAGCCAACAGAAACAACAATTTTACTAGAAGTTCGAGGAGTTCTTTACAGAGAGCAGTCAGCATATTACCGTATCCCTGCCCGTGGCAGGAAGGTGAGACCAGATGATCTTTTAGGTCTCTTCCAAACCAAAACATTCTATGATGCTATGATTTTGTGTGTGAGTAAGGGCCTACACAGCACATAAACACATCTTCTAGCTGGATCTGAGTTCTGGCACCAAATCGCCGTCATACAGGGTCTTTCATGTAGCCAGGAATCCACATGAGTGTATTTTACCCTATATAACCCTATAAATGATGCTAAACCTATAAATGAAGCTCTGAGAATCCAAGTGTGGACAAATGGGACCAGAGACACTGATAATATAGCTCCTTACAGCAGGATAGGAGAGAAGCCTGATTTTTTGGCCACTGCAGATCATTATTTATAATGTAGAGGCAAATGCCATCGAGGGGACAATAAGCTCATTTATCACCGGACTGCACAAGGCTGGAAGAGCGGTGTCCTCTTGATCGTTATCCAAATGTCTCTGAGCTGAAAGCACTCCCATCTCAGCAGCAGTTTTCTTCTGAAGCTAGCTAGTGCTGTCAGTGCCTTTTGCCAATAGTAGCTATAATTACATTAAATGGTTGATTTGCAGAAACAGAAGGAGAACAACATGTGCAGAGCTATGTTGCAAAACATCACAAGGAGTTTGCACACTTCTGCCACTCCAGTAAACCAGTCACGATGACACTCACACTCCAATTTTCTCCCTGTATTTTGGAGATAAGGCTGTTTAGAATTCTTCTGCGGGATTATCTGATGGCCGCACGCAGCTTGATGCATTGAGACCATTAGAGGTGAGCTGGATGACCCCCGGAACAATCCCCTGCTATGAATAGCCATCATGAGCCGGTGGGAACAAAGCACAAGATGTAATGTGTCCTTCCCTGAGCTTCAGAGAGGGATGCTCAGGAACTTAAAAATAAAAGAGCTTCATTTCTATGAATTAGAAGTGAATCTGCGGCACGCACTGCCTCTTCTCTTGGGAGCACACTGGTGTTAGGGTAAGTACTTCCTACCTCCGAGCCCTGCTTCTCTCCCCAAGCCCGTGCTGTAATTATAACTCTGCCTCTAAATCTGAGTGTACTTTGTAGGCTTAATAAGGCAACCAGCAGCAGTAATGGCAGTAATTACAAATAAGCTTAGTGTTCAGAACTAAAGGAAAAATACACAAAAGATGAAGAATGCCATCACTCAAGGACTTTTTGGAAACAACACAGGCAGAAATGGGCAAGTTTTGCAAAAGTTATAAATATCACATGCACAGAGCTTATATTATTTAGGGCACTTGTGTGATGAGTGTTCTTCTGAAAGACTCTGGGCAGTGTTAAAGCATGAGAGCATGAGTGATCTGGGAAATATCAAAATATTACAATCTGCTACGGAGACGCACAGCTTTTCTTTATGGCTTGCAAAAATATACTAAGGATTCCAGATGAACTCCAGTGCAGGAATGCCTGTTTATTGCAAACGGAGAGTGCACGGGGAAGTATTGCTAAACAAGTTGGCAAAGGATCAGCATAAGCAGCTTGGTAACAAGTTATTTTAATGGTATTGTATATCCTGTCCTGAGTGTCATGGTGAAACATCTCAGGGAACAGTTTGTAACAGCCACCTTACAGTCATCCCAAATGTATCGCCAGGATCCAAAACACATGCGAAGCGGACACAAGACAAATTGGTAGGGATTTTGGTTGTCACAAGGAGTTCCTCGTCTCCTCGGGAGAAGTTCTGGAATTTGGCAATATCCTGAAACAGAGTGTTCCCAATAAGCCATCAGGAGACCTGGAGTACTCTGTTTTCCCATCTGCCCTCCAAAGGTCAGAAGGACACACTGAGTGTATCTAAACGACAAATATCTGTGTTGACTTCTGGTTTTGTTATTATTTTTCTTTTTACCAGAACCCACAAAGCACTTCTCCCAGCAGGTCCTCTCAGCCACTACCAAACCGGACCCATAACAAAACTGGGAAGTTAAGGCCCACTGGGAAATGAAATGAGACAGAATTTCTCTAAATTTTAATTATTTTTTTTTTTCACTCCAGCCATCATGCAACACGTATCCAGGCTGTGCACCAGAGAGGAACCTGACTCCAGGTGCTTGGTCCCAGCGCTTGCAGTACCATGAAGAACAGGACATGTTTTGGGACCTGCAAAGTTCTTTGCTGCACGGGCTCCTTCTGGAGCTTCTCACTTGTTCCTAGCACTCCAGACTCTCGGGAGGAGGAGGTGGCTCATTGTTCCTGGTGCCGGCTGTGCTGCCACCCCTCAGCTCCCACGTCTCAGCCGGCAGGGAAAACAAGGCCCTAAGCTGAGAAGATGACAAATTGGTGCAGTTACAGCAAGACCTTGTTCTGCAGAGCCAGGCAGAAATCTCCATGGGGCTCCTCGCCCCAATTTTGATCCTTCAAAATTTAATATTTAATTAATTAATTTAATAATTAATATTTATTTAATATTTCTTCCCTCAAACTGCATCCTGGTGTACTTGTCCAATGCTGTTATCACCTCAGGTGTTGATGTAGGTGGTAAGAGAAGCAGCCTTCAAGGCAGACAACATTTTCAACAGTTCAGAGTAGGACCGATAAATGTTACTGAAAAGCCTTTCCTTTTTGTGGCCATGCCCTGAGCAGTGATGCTGGAAATACTCTACTGAAGCTGCAGAGTTGGGGCTCCAGGTCTGAGCTAGGTTCTTCTAACCCCAGCAAACATTTTGGCTCCCCTAGGGCATCTCACACAGCACGAGGTGCCTGTGCTTCAGCTAAGGAAGTCAGTCCCACAGTGCACATATCATATTTTTATAAATTATCTGCATCAAGAAAACAAGACCAGACCTACAAAATATAGTGCCTGGAAGCTCTTGTTTATGTATGCAAGACCCAGTGTGTGTGGATGGGGATATAAATACGCGCTGAAGCTTGTGCAAGCTCTCTACCCAGAGAGCTCAGATGTGCTCGCCTACTCACTGGTGGTTTCTGAATCTTATTGTCTAAATATACCTCGCCTGATTCCCAGGGGAGCACAGTGTTTGGCACCTCGCAAGGGGAAGCACAGATGTTTGGCTCCCATCTGCTGGAATTTCTTGAACTTCTCTGGACAAAAGTGGAAAGGCCAGAGGTCAGGCAGTGCGGTTGGGTCTGCCTGGTTTCCAAGCCCTTGTCCAAAACAGCAGTGCAGACAAAGCATCGGCACGATGGTGGCATACCAGCAGTGCATTTCATGCCGATAAACCCCACAGAGGATGTCCAGACTTTAAATATTGTATTTTTCAGTTTCCTTAATTTTGTGGGAAAGAGCCAGGTGCACATCTGCAGAATGAAAGGCACTTGCTCACATACGGGGTCCTCAGCACCCAAGCAGAGACAATCTGCATCTCCAAGAGCTGGGACCAGCACAGACCCTTCTCTTGGCACTCTCCTGAAAGCAGACAGCAGCTCCCACACAGACATGAGCTGCCCCTTCCTTATTTTTCCCATCCCAAGCAGTGACACAACTATCAGACAGCAGCCCAAACTTGTGCTTGCTGGGATGGATGCCCAAAGGTCCCTTTTGGTGTCACCAGCAGGGCTGCAGTCACAGCAGGCAGTGAGAACAGCGTGTTTTCATCTAAAAAAAAAAAAAAAAAAAATCAAAACTGGGTTCCAGCTGCTTTTTCTATAAATATGCTCACTGCTAAAATCAAAACAGTGTGATGGTTCCCTGAACAACAGCTCCAGGTGGCACACACCTCCCTGGTTGGTGTCCTTTGCAGTAATGGGGGAAATACTGTGAGTGGTGGCCTGTGCCTCCAGCCTGCCCTTGCTCCACCATAAATTGAGTGATACCTGTCATGTGAAAATGCCCCCAGTCTGTGGGGAATCCATGCCACAGAGCTGACACTGCTTCTGCACTGCTGTGAGAAGCTTCTATGGTGAGAAGAGAGAGTGGTCTGACAAATCAGCATCCACATTTTGGGGGCTGGAGGGACTTGGGGTTCAGCTGCAGCCCCCCCTTATGCTAGCACTGAATCACCTCCTGGCACTGACCTCCTAAAGGGGAGGTGGGAACGGGGAGCACTGCTATCCCTCTGCTCTCCCTCCTCTCCTTCCCTCTGTCCCTGCCTTGGCACAGGCTCTGGTTGATCACCGTGTGGGAATCTGCAGCTGCCAGGGATGCAAACACTAAAAAAGATCCAAGAAAATGAAAACTTCAGCCTGCGTTCTCATCAGGTGCAACCAAGCTTCTTTAGAAACAGCCCTGTTTCTTACACTTACACATTCTCTGCTGATCTGATGGCTCCCAGAAGTTGGTTTTGGAGGTTTTTAGGTCCATGAAATGATGACTTTCAATGCTTCTCTCCTCCCTCTCCCTGCTCCCCAGCCCCTAGTAGGGTCTCAAATCCCATCTGCTCCTCCAACAGGCAGAAAAACTGTTTAGAAAGAAGAGCAGGATGAAATCACCGCCCTGGTTATTACTGCCATGCATGCTGCATGCCAGCACCACTAGGGCAGACTTATCTACCTAGTCTGAGTTCCTTCAGAGTGTATTGTAGCAATTTCAGGGCACTCTGCAACCAAAACAGGTGTCTATGCAAGGGTCGAAGCCACCAGTGTTTTGTCTGCATCACCAAGCCTAACCAGCCTAACATTCTGCACTTTCGATGTGCCCAAAGTCTCTGTTTTGCTCTGTTTCTGTAGTACCCAGCACAGCATCTCTCTGACTCAACGTGTGATGTTCCAGCATCACAAAACAAACAAGAAATTGTGACTCAGCAATCAAAACCTGAGCTGGTGGGGCTTAAATCCTTCGGTATAAGCCCACTAGAACCAAGAGGAGGGTGGCTCGGTTCCCTTTGGAGCTGAAGCACTTTCTATATCATTTCCAAGTCAGGAAGCAGTACCCGGGAGCTGCCCTCAGCCACCAGACCTCAGCCTGTTCATTGTAGCAAGACAACATGACTGTGTTAATATTTCACCATTCCTGGGAAGGATTTTGGTCACACAACACCATTACATGGAGCAGCCACCTCCCATGCCAACAGCAGCCACGCAGTGCCATCAGCAGGACCCTCTGCAGGGGGGAGAGGCTCTTCATGGTCCTGTGGGGCCAGCAGCACAGCCAGGCATGAGATACATTGCTCACAACAGCCATGTCTTGGAATAAATAGAATAAATAACCAACCATCTGCACTTCCAGCTTGTTTTTTGTCCATTCCCACCGCTGCTCGCACGAACTGACCCAGCCAGGCATTCAAACACACTTCGTTTTCACCATTGCTCTCGGTGGAGCAGAGAGGGATGGGATGATGGCCTGTGTGGGGTTTGTCTTTTATACTGGCAGGTACAGATGGGGAGTTCGGCCCTGCGTGTTTGCTGATGGACAGGAGCAACCACATTCAAAGAGGTCTGAGTCCCCTGCTGTTTGTCCCCAGGGATGGAGCTGTGCATCCCAGTGCCTCTGCTCTCCTCTGTCCTGTCCTCCCCGCTTCTGCTCCATGCCTCAAAAGGGCTTTCAGCCTCCTGTTAGATGAAGCCCAAAGGGAACTACAGTCCTGCTCAGAGGGAGCTGGTAAGGACTGATGCCATAAGTAAAGCAGTGAGCTCTTAAAGCACTTGCTGCAAGTGTGGGAAGCCGCTCAGAGGAGCCAGAAATCATGCAAAATGATGGGGGCTATGAACTCAGGAGCTTAGCTCTGGCCTGCTGGGATTTCTCTCAACTTGAATCTTAACACACGATCTGTTTAAGGGAGATAGGAAGGGGAGAAGGAGTGGAGGGGTGCTGCTATGCATCAAGCCTACATACCACTGCCAGCAACCTGTCAGCTGACAACGACTAGCAGGGATGGAGCCCCCCTGAGTTAAGTGCATGCGGCATGTGAGAAGAGGAGGAAAGCAGTGAGGTCTCCTCCCCAGACCACCAGGACTGGTGAGCAGGAGAGAAAAGCGTCTGGAGAAGCTCTCGAGCTGCCAGACACGACGCAAGGGTGAAGCAGTTCTCCCCGGCTGGGGAGGGATGGTTGCTGTCAGACATCCCCCTGGTTGCGAGGGGGAAGCACGCAGAGGTCAGCATTTCGTAGCGAATGTAACACGCCACAGATCTGGCTTGCAGCTGGAATTTACCTGGGTACTGCCTGTGGTCTTTGTGGTAAGGCACGGGTTTTATGGCTCACTGCTCCAGCTTGTGGTTCATGGCAAGAGAGGGCAGTAAAAAGAGATTTACAGAAGACATAACTGCCCAGATTATGCACTAAGGCTAAAGAAAGAAGCAAAGTTTTGACTGCCTTCAGCTAGAATTACACACCCCAGAGTGGCCAGTCCTTTCTCTCTTGCCAAATAAAGGTGCATGGAGGAGCAGTGCACACCCAGAAGGCTCCTCCATCAGTAAGGTGAGGAGGGAGAGGGCTGGGTCACAGCACTAATACCCCACACAGCCCTTCTCCATCATGCTGGACCACAAGCACAGTCCCTGGCACAGACCCAGGACAAAGGGCAGTCTTCTGATCTGGAAGGAAAGAGACTTTATCCTTATGGAAGCAAGCTGGGACATGAATGTTGACCTCAGGATGAGAAAAAAGGGCCTTGGCAGTTTTATTTATTCATTTTTACAGATCAGACACTGGAGATCTGGTTTAAATCCCCCTAGATTCAAGCCCTTCTTCTCTATGGAGAGTGTGAACTATGTAATGGAGAAGGACAGGGCTCACTGTGTGTGTCTGCTGCTGGAGGTGTTTGTATATCATAAAGCAAGTACACCTTTATTGGAGCACACATTGGATACCACATCCCCCAACACTCAGACTTACAACTCTGGAACATTATAACTCAAAAAAGAGTTATCTGTTTTATGTGAAAGGCCCACAATAAGTAAATAAATAAATAGAAGCATCTGACAGTCTGGCACATAGGATGCTCTCTGTGGCTGTTGCATCCATTTCCTCCTCCCCTCAGATAACCACCCAGTAACCTACCCCACCCCTGTAAGCACATATGGTCATTAGACACTCCCTTGCTCTGACATTTTTGGCCTCAAACCTCACCCATGCCCAGCAGAGCTTGTTCCTCTCAGACCAGACTTGGTGTCACCCAGGTTGAGGCAGACAGCTCGACCCGTGCCCTGCTTGACCCAAAAGAAATCCAAAAAGCTGTAGCAGCACTGGTGTCAATTACACTAAAGTGATCGCAGGATCACTTTCACATTGTATACTGCTAGTTAAAATAGTAATACAAACTCCTTGTTTCATGTGCTGAGGAATTTTGTCCAGACAGATGAAGCTGGCCACATGCTGGACTGCACTGCATGCAGTCTCTGATGAGGCCATGACAGCAGGAGTCAAGTATGTGTCCCTGAGGCAGAAACATGAGCAGGGTTGGGTTGGTTTTTGTATTTTTTTTCTGCAGTAACATCATTTACAACCCTGATAAAGATGCATAGATGTGTGTGGATCATGTGAAAACCAATGATACTCGAGGAGTCATGAAGGGCAGCCAACACTC